AAAAATCAGTACAATAGACAATAAAAAAGTCAAAGTCAGAATGAGGCAAACATGGAAGAGCATAAAAGAGAGTTGTAATGTAGGCATGTGAGCTGTGAAGTTTAATCAAGTTATCAAAACTGAGCTGCACATTTGAGCCCTATCTTCCTGGAAGCCATGGCAAAAAGGGAAATGAGACTGATCTCATGGTTTTCCCTCTTCATAGGGATAAGGCATGCCTTTAAGTTTCTTTCATTGACCTTCCTATGTGGGGCATAGAGTGATTGTATTAAGTGTGGCAAGGGCTGTTTCTTTATAGAAGTGAGGGATTATTGTGAACTTTGGGGTGGACCTAGTCTAATCACATGGGTTGTTTATTTGTTTTGTAGTCCTGGGACTGAACCCAGGGCCTTACACCTGCTAGGCAGGTTCTCTATTGCTGAGTTATTATCCCCAGCCCTCACATGGGTTCTGCAGAGCCTAGATCCCTCCCCAGATGGAATTAGAGGCCAACAAAATCTTAGAAGTGTGGTCAAAATGTTTCTGGCTTTGAAGATGGGGAGAACTGGGAGGCAGAGACTGTCCGGCCTCCAGAACTGGGTAGAGCAACGAAACAGAAGTTCTCTGAGAGCTCTGGAAAGCAGTACAGCCTTGCTGACAGGGACTGCAGCTCAGTGAGACTGGGTTGGACTTCTGGCCTATAGAATTGCAAGATCGTAAATGTGTATTGTCACTGAGTTATAGGAATTTGTTATGATAGTCATATATGGTGATATTTTATTTGTACTGAAATGTGATTTTATTTGCATGTTAATAAATAAAGTTGCTTGGGGGTCAGAGCAGAAACTGGGCGGTGGTGGTGCACACCTTTAATCCCAGCTCTTGGGAGGCAGAGCTAGGATCTCTGTGTGTTCAAGGATACAGCCAGCACGGAGACACACGCTTTTAATCTCAATATCAACCATAGAAGACCTGGAGGTCTGTACAGACAGGCAGTGACAAGGAGGTCATGTGATTGGGTTTACAACCAATGAGAAGGCAGAATAGAAAGTCTATAAAAAAGACAAACAGACAAGAAGTAGCTCTCTTGGCTGAAGAGGACAGCAGCAGCAGTGAAGGGTAAGGTTTTTAGCTCTAAGCTCTGACTTCTTGGGCTTTCATCTCTGCGTTGGCTCTGTGTTTCTTATTTAACAAGACGGTTACATCTACAGTCATATAAAACTAACATGATATTGGTTGCAATAACAGAAAGTCACCTAATTGAGCAAGTCAAGTAAAAGGTACCCTTTAGAGGCTGGAGAGATTGTTCAGTGGTTAAGAACATGTGCTGTTGTTTGTTTTTTACTCTTTTGGGGGGCCCGCTACCCAGCTCCCAAATAAATCACACATGGAGATGTATTCTTATTATGAATGTCCAGCCTTAGCTTTACTTGTTTCTTGCCAGCTTTCCTTTAAATTAGCCTATCTATCTTTTGCCTCTGGGCTTTTCCTATTCTCTTACTTCTGTAAATCTTACTCTTACTCCGAGGCTTGCTATGTAGCTGGGTGGCTGGCCCCACAAGTCCTCCTCCTTCTCTGGATACTTCTTTCTCTTCTTCCCAGTTTTCTCTTTCTGTATATTCTCTCTGCCTGCCAGCCCCACCTATCCTTTCTCCTGCCTTGCCATTGGCCGTTCAGTTCTTTATCAGACTATCAGGTGTTTTACACAGGCACAGTAACAGCTTCACAGAGTTAAAGGAACGCAACATAGACAAAAGTAGCACACACGCACTGCCCGTGCCAAGGACCTGGGTTCAGTTTTCAGCACAGTTCACAACTGCCTGGGACTCCAGCTCCAGGGGATCTGGCATCCTCCTCTGGCCTCTGAGGGCACCTGCATTCAAATACACACATCCATTCCTGCAGCACACATGCACATAATTAAAAGCAAGTAAATCTTTAAAGAAAAGGACACTTCATTCCAAAGATCTGGAAATAATACATTGGATTTGAAGGCACAAATGCAACTGACCCAAGAGAATGCTGGGACAGGCTGGCGCTGTCTCTGTCTGCACACCCCTTTTCTTTGTGCTCTCTTTCCGTTTGCTCTGAAATCTGGTTTTCTACACGTTTTTTCAGCCCCTGGGGTAGAAAAGCATGTTTGTGGACAGCTCCTCTGCTCTTTCCTTCCTTCCCACCTTTCTTTCTTCAGGCTCTGACCGCATAGGCCAGGCTGGCCTTCAGCTCCCCCTTCTCCTGCCTCAGCTTCTCGAGTAATAGTAACACAGACCTGTGCACCAGCTCCTAATTTTTAAATATTAACTATGGCATTTGCCTAGAGAAAGACAAATCTCTCAGCTGCTATTTCAAATTTCTGGGAAAGGGATGCCACCGTCTTGGCATAGTATTGGAGCAGTCACCCATAGCCAGGAGACTTGATGGTCTGAGATAATAGGGTTAGTTTCCAGAAATATCTGCTTATACTGCTGGGTTTTAAAATGTTGTTTGAGACAGCATCTCGTGTAGCATGTTGGCTTTGTGAAGCTCTGGCTGGCTTGGAACTTACTGTATGGCTGAGGCTGGCCTTGAACTGCTCATCTTCCTGCCTCCATATCCCAAATGCTGGGATACAGGCATGTGCTACCACGTACTCCACAGCTTTATACTGCTGATTTTATTCATTGATATTATATATATATATATATAAAATTTTATTTATGTATTTATTTAGAGACAGGCCTCACTGTACAGCCCTGGCTGGCCTGGAACTCACTATTTAGACCAAGCTGGCCTTGAACTCACAGAGATCTGCCTGCCTCTGTCTCCTAAGCGCTGGGATTAAAGATATACCTCACCATGCCTATCTTATACTGATTTTAAAATGTAGCTTGCAACTTATCCCATAACCCCAAAATCTCTCTCCTTCTTCTCCACCCTCCCCTCTGTGTTGTGTATATATGTAGTATGTGTGTGTGTGTGTGTAAATATGGGAAGGTGTGCTCACCTGTACGTGTATATGAGGAGGCCAGAGATTGACTCAGATAGTGTTTTTTTTTTTTTTTTTTTTTTTTTTTTTGCTTTCTACTTTTTTTTTTGTTTTTGAGATCAGGTCTCTCTGGTCGGAAACTTGTCACTTCATCTAGGCTGACTGGCCAGTGAGCTCGGGGATCCACCTGTTTCTGCACCCAGCACTGAGGTTACAGACACCTGCTGCTGCCCCTGATCAAAAGCCATTTAGTGGGTGGACATCAGCAATAAAGAGACAAAAAGGAGGAGCTGGAGGGATGGCTTAGTGGTTAAGAGCACTTGCTGTTCTCCCAGAAGACCGAGTTTGGTGCCCAGCACTCACATGGGGTGACTCATAGCTGCTGTAACTCTGGCTCCAGAGGGATCTGATGCCTCTTCCTACTTTGGATATCAGCACACATATGTGTGTATATACACACACACACACACACACACATAAATAAAATTTATAAAATCAATACAAGTGTGTGTGTGTGTGTGCGTGCGTGCGTGCGTGTGTGTGTGTGTGTGTGTGTGTGTGTGTGTGTGTGTGTGTTTAGGCCAGAGGTCAGCCTCAGGTGTTGTTCCTAGGAACTGTCTACCTTTGTTTTTGACCCAGGGTTTCTCACTGCTCCCTGGCCTGAACTTATCAATTAGTCTATGATAACTGGCCGACAAGCCCCAGTGAGTCTCCTGTCTCCACCTCCTTAGTGCTGGGATTCTAAGCATGTGCCCCCATGCTGTTTTCTTTTAAATTTATTTAATTTTCATTCATTCATTCATTCATTTATTTATCTATTTATTTATTTATTGTTCTTTTGAGACAGGGTTTCTCTGTGTAGCTTTGGAGCCTTTCCTGGAATTCACCCTGTAGCCCAGGCTGGCCTCGAACTCACAGAGATCCTCCTGGCTCTGCCTCCTGAGTGCTGGGATAAAGGCGTGCACCACCACCTCCTGGCTTTTAAATTTATTTTAACTAATTAATTTTTTTACTTGGGTTCTGGGAATCAAACTCAGGTACTCATGCTTGCACAGTAAGTATTTTACCAACTGAACTCTCTCCCCAGACTACAAACAGTGCTTTTTGATGTGCTGACCCAACTCACAATGAAACCTAGCCCACTGGTTCCCAATCAGTGCTAGGAAAACAAAAGCAGAAACTGAGATCTATTGAGCCAGAATCTCGGAGTGAATAGCTTGTGAATCTACACTTAAACGCAAAATAAAACAAAATAAAAGCCATTCTCTATAGATGTCTCTGATGTTTAGCGAGTTTGGGAACCAGTGACACACAGTGTGCAACGGAGGACTCTGCGGCATGCCTTTCCAACAAGTCTTCCTTCCAGTGTCTTCCCTTAACCAGGCTTTGTGAAACGAGAGGTAGACAGTTTGGAGTTACTTTTTGGAAGGGTCTGGAGTGAAAAAGGCCTCAGCGGTTTATCAAAGGCGGATCCACACACGCCACAGTCGAATGAAGCAGATGGTGGAGTTTGTCTCCTTTTCTGGATATTGTGGTAGGACACTCCTGCTCGTTCTTCTGCTTGGATGGACAGGCATGCCATCTCATAGGTGCAAGGAGAACATGCGGAGTCAAACTTCTCACATCTCTTCCAGACTTGTTAGACAAAGTTCTGTAATTTTCCAGAACATTTCTTGGCCAAGATCCCAAAGTTCTACAATATAGTACATGGTGGGGAGTATTCATGCTTGAAAAATGGTTTTCAAAATGAAGTTACCAAGTACTCATGACCATTTGAGTGTTGTTGTTGTTGTTGTTGTTTTCCTATGAAGGGAACAGGATGAACTAAGTAGTTGCCAAATGTACACCTGTAAGCAATAAAATTAATTGCTCTGCTGTACTGTTACTGGCTATCAATCACCTTAATTTTAGAAGACATCTGCCTTGAATAATTATGCTAGTCCAAGTAGAGTTGAATTTCTTCCCCGCAGCTGCTGGAGAGCAGGACCCCGCCCACTGAAGCCGTTCCTAGTTCATGTCAATAGAGCATTAGCATACAGCTGGAGCCAGCTTTTCAAGTCTCCGTGGCTTGCGACATGCATTGAGGTGGGCCCACAGAGGCTTGGGACACATCGAGAGCTATGTTATTTGACTCGTCACGGGCCGCTTCAGCCTTTCTTTGAGGACACACACCCGCCTCTCAGCAGTGACTTTCGAACCGCGTTCCTGTCGTTTTAGGCCCTCTGAGAGTATGTCTGGCCACGCCGTCACGAAAGCGACAGTGCCGTTAACAGGCGTTTTACTTAACCCTGCGCTGCTCTGTGCTGAAGGCAGGCTCCCCTGCTCGGTTCCTGGGGTGCAGCGGGTGGGGACCAGGCTCTGAGGCACGTTTCGTGGCCCGCGCTCCCCTCGCAGGCTCCACGCACGCACGCGCGCACGCACGCGGCAAGCAGGGGCTTTGCACTTTGTCCCGGTGAGGACCCCGTCCAGCTCCTGGGGCGGCTCAGCCGGCCTGAGAAAAGTTAGCTTCTTTAGGTGTGGCGTTCGTTTGGGACTGGGCGACCACCCCGGTCAGAGGCAGCCCGCCTGCCTGCGGTGAGTGCCCCCCCCCAGGGTCGCCTCCCAGGGCCCAGCCGTGCTGCCCTGAGGGAAAGGGTGGGCAGGAGGGTTAGGCTGCGGAGCGCCGTTGCTATGGCAACCGCGGGTAAACCGGCCTCGGCCTCCAGCTGCCGGTCTGCCAGACAGCCAGCACTGAGGAGGGACCTGGCGATGACCACAGACCCTTCAGGAGCCTCCCGGGGCCTAAGCAGTTGGGATCTCATTTCCGCCTGGTCTGGTGTTTGGGGTGGTCGCTGATTGTGACCATCGCTGTCCATCTACAACTCCTCACCTCCATCCCACTTTCACTACGGGAAACATTTTTGAAAGTTTAATGTGACCTCACTAAGGGTAAGTGTGTGTGGGGAAAAAGTCCTAAAAAAAACTGGAGTTGTAAGGGTTTGATTTTAATTTCCTAAGAGCCCGACACCTAGCAGGACCTCATCATGTGGTAGCAGTTTCTTAGGGCACTTCTTTGCACAGAGTGGATGCTCAGGAGATAGGGTGATGTTAAGAGCTGTCTCCTGCTGATTCTGAGGGTAGGGAATTTCAACCTGCTGCCTGTTTCCTAGATGCACCTTAGAATTTCTCACACAGTTGTGGCTGAAATGAACCTGCATGTGGTATTGCCCTGTGAATGACTAATGGCAAAGTGGTTAAGTTAACTTGTCGGGGGTAATTGTCCATTTGGGGGCACTCCTCATTCCTCACCACAGCTGAGGAGGACCCTTGTTTTTTGGCTTGACCACCTATCTTCAACATCAGACCAGGATCCTGCCAGCCCTACAGAGGAGGAAGGGTCTGGGAGTGGAAAGCAAAATCAACAGGTTTTGAACTAAAGCTTTCTCCCCTTCTCTAAATTGGCTTCAAATTGTGAGCAATATGTAGAGATTCTGCACATTGAAAATTCTAGTCTGTGTAAGTCACCAGTGTTCTTGCCCCAATGAATCGTTCATCTATTTAGTTTTCAAGCCAGGAATCTCGTCCTCATCAGCACCATTTCCCTCTCCCCATGTCCATATCATCATCAATTTGTGTTCATTTTGTCTTCATACCGAAGATCAGATCTAACCACTTCCTCCCGTCTCTCCTTCTATGACCCAAGAACAAGCTACCGTTATCTTACCTTGTCTCTTGTAGTTACCTCCTAATTGGTCTGACGTCATCATCTCATTTTAAAACGTTCCTGCTTTTCTGCTCTGCAGTGGGAACAATATTTAAAATTTGTAAATTGATTATGCTGGGCCAGAGAAATGGCTAAATGGTGATGTGCTTGCCACCAAACCAGATGACCTGAGTTTGATCCCTAGGACCCCACGGTAGAAGGAGAGAGAACTGACTCCACAAATTGTCCTCTGATCCCCACACATGATCTCTAGTACCTCTAAGAACAATTTAGGCTGGGCATGGTGGATAGCTTCTAACTCTTCCTGATGTAGCCTCCCAAGTAGCTGGGATTACAAGCATGTGCCATTGTGCTTGGGTCTACATAGACTCCTCAGTTGCTCATCATGATTTTGTGTCTCACTTCAGGACCTTTATACTTGTTCCTCTCCCTTCATTGCTCTTCTCTTTATTAACTCTGGCTCACCCTTGATCTCTGAGGCCAAGTGTTTCCTCAGGAAAACTATATTTGATTACTTTGTCTGGGACACACCTCAATATTGTCTCTTCTAGTAGCATTTGTGTGTATGGCACATAGTGTGTCATCAACAACTAACTGAATGCTTGAATTGTAACTATTTTCCCATGGCACCCAGTAGTGTCTGAAAATATCATGCTGTGTTTAGAAGCAGACTACAGAAACAGATAGTTTACATGTTAATTCTAGCTCTGTCATAGTTCCATACCTGAAACCTGTGGGCTGATGTTTCATTTTATTGAAGGGTGATATGGTGTGTATACTGTACCCTTGTTGCGGTTTGAATAAGAGTGGCCCCTTAAAGGTTTATATATTTGAGTGCTTGGTCATTAAGAGTGGTACTACTTTTGAGGGATTAGGAGGTGTGGCCTTGTTGGAGAAAGTGTGTCACTGGTGGGTGGGTTTTGAGGTTTTGAAAACTCAAGCCAGGCCAGCCTCTCTCTCTTCCTGCTGCCTGTGGATCTGGATGTAGAACTCTCAGCTACTTCTCCAGCACCATGTCTGCCTGTGTGCCGCCATGCTCCCTGCCATGCTTTGCACCATAGTGATAATGGACTAAACCTCTGAAACTGTAAGCCAGCCCCAATTAAATGTTTTCTTTTATAAGAGTTGCCATGGTCATGGGGCCTCTTCACATCAAGAAAACACTGACTAAGACAGCCCTAAATGTTATCAGTTACATTAACTTCTCTTTAGTAAACTGAATCTTAATTGGGTAAAGGTGATGCATAGTTTGGCATTAGTTCATGGCAAGGTTTAGCAACAAATGAGTTTACCAAAAAGTTATGAAAACATTTTGTTTCCATAGCTTTTTGGATGTTTGAATTTCAGTCTAGAATGTTAGAATTTGTCTTAGTGTGATCTTAGTTAAGTCACCTTCTCAGTGCCTCAGATTTTTCACTGGGAAGTTAGACATGTCACTAGCACTAGTCTGCCAATGTCATATTGCTTTGAGAAATAAATGAATTACTACATGTGAACTATTTGGAACAGTGAATGGTGCTTATTCAGTAATATGTAAGGGTCCACTCTTATGCCATTTTCTTAGCTACATAATGACACCACAAATAAGGTATTATTAGCTATTATTTATATGTTAAGAACCAGATATAGTGATGAATGGATTCATAATTTAATCTTTTCATTATATCCTTGTTGCTTATGATCAGTTTCTCAAAAATGGAATTACAAAGGACAGGAGTGCTGTAATGTTCTTGAATCATAGGGCTGCTCTACTCTCCAGAAAGATGACAGCTCCACCACCAGCTGTATGATGCGCATGCTAGCACTTGGCCCATTTCACAGATAAAAATGATTCATCTTTATTTTAATTTGTATCTCTATTGTTTATTTGTTCAAGCATTAAACAACCTTATTGTTAGCTGTTAGCAATTTCCTTTCTCTGAATTGCGTATACAAACTCTTTGAAGGATTTTCTAGACATAGTAATTGTATACGTTTATGTAGTTCAGTGTGGCATTTGAATATATGCACATAGAATGTGATGATCAGATCTGGGCAACTGACATATCTATCACTTCAGGCATTTATCATTTCAAACCAGAAGTTTAAAGTCATCGTCATTGACTACAGATCTCCTATTGTGCTGAGAATATTAGAAGTTAGTTCTCCCATCCAGCTGCACCCCTGACCTACTCACCACACCCTGTCTGTGTTTTCTTGCCGTTGTTTGTTTAATCTCTGTCTTCCTTGGCCAGGGTAGGAACCAGTGCCCTGGGCTTTGGCAGGAATTAGATAATGTGTCATGGGGCCCCAGGTAGGTTCTTACTTACCTGTAGGCTACTGAGTATGGTAGAGACCGATGTTTCAGAAGCTAAGTCTTGGGTGAATTCTGAAATCTGGACAGTGTGGACCTTCAGTGCAACAGGGACAAGAAGAAAAAGACATTTAGGTGGGAGGCAGAGGCCCAAGGGAGATAATTGGTGGGGGGAGTGGCTCAGAGCTGGGAGAAGTTTCATTGCTTTTCCGTAGGCACATTGCAGATCCATCTGTGGAAGAAGAGGGCTGCTGAGGGTGCTGTGCCTGCCACACACTCGTTTGTGAGAACTATTGATATAGGAAGAATATTGCTTGTCATACCGGATATATTTTTTTAAACCATAATTATCTTTTCATTTATAATGGCTTTTTGGAGAGTCTTGCAGAGTGAACTCAGGGCCTCATACCATGTACAGACCATGTACCATGACCATCTCTTGGCTCCTATGTGATTTCATACTTAGAATGTCCTTGTGCAGAGACTGGACAACAACCTACACTTTCTTTAAAATGTAACCATATTTTAAAAAGATGTTATTTTGTGATACTAGTATGTAGACAAATTGCTAAACAGTCTTATTAATAAAAAACCTGGAGCCAGATATTGGGGTTAAAACCAAGAGATCAGAAAAGCGGAAAGAAGCTAGCCTCGTTCTCACCACTTGGAGATCCTCAGCCAGAGACCTACTTCTTGTATACCCACGCCTATATGCCTTTCTGTTCTGCCATCTCATTTCCTCTCTCTGCTCAGCTATATCACTTCCTCTTCCTGCCCAGCTCTGTCACTTCCTGTCTGTACAGACCTCCAGACCTTTATGGTTAGTTCTGGGATTAAAGTTATGTACCACCACTCCTGGCTCTGTTCCCAATGTGGCCTTGAACTCACAGAGATCCAGATGGATCTCTGCCTTCCGAGTGATAGGATTGAAGGAATATGCTACCATTGCCTGACCTCTATGTTTACTACAGTGGCTGGCTTTTTCCTCTGATCCTCAGATAAACTTTATTGGAGTACATAGATAAAATATCACCACACGTGCTCACTTCGGCAGCACATATACTAAAATTGGAACGATACAGAGAAGATTAACATGGCCCCTGCGCAAGGATGACACGCAAATTCATGAAGCATTCCATATTTTAAAAAAAATATCACCACACTAGTAAATTGAGTGGTAATGACTTTAGGCATAAGAAAGTTGAGAGCCTAGGGAGATGGTAGAGTGAGTAACAGCACTTTCTGTACAAGCATGATGACCTGGTTTCAGATACTAGCACCTATCTAAGGCTGGTGTAGTCATTCAATGGAATGTCTATAACTTCAGAGAGTTGGGATATGTGTGCTGAGACAGGAGGATCATTGCTAGCTTCTAGTCTAGCTCCAGGTTCAGGGGCAGACCCTATCTCAAAGGACAAAGGTAGAGCTCAATAGAGCAGGACACCAGACATCCTTATCTGGCCTCTGAGTGTGCACACAGGCACACATATGCACATACCCCATACATATATTGTGTATGTGCACACACACCACACCTGCCCACACCCACACCCCCAACACACAGAGTTGAACACTATA